ATTCATTGACTTCAGAGAGGGAGAGGGAGATAGAACATCAATGATGAGAGAGAATCATGGATCGGCTGCCTCTTGCATGCCCCCTACTGAGGATGGAGACTGCAAACCAGGCATGTGCCCTGACTCAGAATCAAACTGTGACCTCCTGGTTCATAGGTCGACACTCAACCACTGAGTCACACCACTCAGGCTTGCACTATTCTTGTTCCAAGGAGACCAAACTCCTGCTTCATGGCCTTTGCATGAACTGTTCCCTCTGCTGACATGCTCTTCCTGCATACCTCTGTTGTGCTTTCCATCTACCTGCTCTGTGCTCAAATATCACCTCCTCATGGAGGTCCTACCTGACTGCCATGGCAGGCTCCTCCTTACCATTTTATTTTATTTATTTTTATGGCATCTATCAACAATGGCATTATATTGAAGGGTCATTTATTTACTATCGGATTCCCCTTCCAGATGCCAGGCTCTTCTGTCTATCATGGTCTCCCCAAGGATGGAATAATCGGTGGCATACAGCAAGCATTTTATAAAAACATACACAATCAGCAGCAGTAATATAAACCAAATACACATTGGCTGGTGGGCCTTCAGCAGGGTTTAGAGCAGGGTTTCCTTGCTGGTGCTTCCCCTGTGACAAATAACACAATCCCATTTGTTGCAGAGGAAAGCACCTTCCCATGGCACTCAGTGCTCCCTTCCTGTCCCCACTCTGACAACAGCACTCCCCTTGTTCACTGGCCACCACCCTATGCCACCCCTCCTCCCCTTAGGAACCCTGTTCTTATCCAGGCTTGAGCTTAATCAGCTCCCTCATTTCAGATATCACTGTGGCAATGGAGCCTGCCTACCTTTTTTAAAAAAAAATAAGAAAATTCATTTAGAAAGTCAAAGAGCTAGAAGTGAACTGTAGAAAAAATGGGCTCAGGAAACATGGTACAAAGGCAAAAGAAGGGTCCCTGCAATTTAGGAGAAAGAGAAAGGTAAAGGTAATGTACCTGGGGGGACAGGAAAGGCACCAGTGTGCTCCCGATAGAGCTGTGCTGCCCTGACTTCTTTAAGAGTGACCCAGCACCCCCTTACCGTTACTGACACTGCTCCACTTTCCTTTTCCTTTGCAACACATACCAAACTTTTGTTCACAGATGTGCTCTGAGCACCTGGAAAGGCACCTAGCACTAAAAGAGCCTAGTAGGTGCTAGGTATGTTTGTTGAATAATGATTCCATATCCACCCAATGAGGTGACAGCATCATGTCTGTTTTCTGGATGAGGAAACTAACGCACAGAAAGGTTAAGTTGGCCTGAAATCATCTAGTGAGGAGTCGGGGAGGCAGGATTTAACTCTGGTGCTCTGACTCTTAAGCCCTGTGCTTAGCAAAATACAAGAGAAATGCAAGTTCTGAGATAAGATGGGTCAACAATTTGCAGGGAGGTATCTGTTCAGGGAAGGAGCTGGGCTGGGCAGTGGGGATGGACCTGCTGCTGTGTGCTAGCAATCTCTGGGCTCTGCATTTTACCTGCTTTAGGGCTGCTCTAGGCAGAAAGAGGAGCACAAATTCCCAACACTCAACAGCTGGTTCCCCAGCCAGTCACAGAACTGGGAGCTCCTGCAGAGGGTCTGGACCTCCAGAGCAGTGCCACAGGCTGGGCTGTTTGCTAAAGCACCTAAGTCCAGCCTACCTCACTGGTCCTTGGTTCCTCCCATGGGGAACCTCTCCTCTACTCCATGGCCACAATGGTGCTGCTGGTGTTCATGAGTGGGGGGTTACCACTGAGTTCAGTGAGGCTAAAGAGGGGTGGCTCCCATTGGTATCCGTAGGCTCCAGATGAGATCTCTGGGTGATCCTGCCAGTATCTGACATTTGGGGGAATACAATCACTGTTCACTAAAAAGAGCTTCAATCCTTTGCTTTGTTCATTTCCTGCTGATGTCAGAGTCCAGGCATTTGACAAATGTGGCTACCAGTAACTTCCACTAGTCAGGAGTGATAATTTGTAATTTAAAGGAAGAAACAGGAGGCACCAGGCCATGGAATGATAAGACATGCAGGGCAAGGGTCTGATGTCTTGGCCCACTCATCTCCTCCCCACCCATTTAACCAGGCCATTTCCTTTGAGGGAACTGGTTTGTTCTGCTTGCCCTTGAAACAGAGTCTGACAGATGCCCTAGCCGTTTGCTCAGAGGCTAGAGCAGCCGTGGGCAAATTACGGCCCGTTTGAAATGAATAAAACTAAAAAAAAAAAAAAAAGACCGTACCCTTTTATGTAATGATGTTTACTTTGAATTTCTATTAATTCACACAAACACTCCATGCATGCTTTTGTTCCGGCCCTCCGGTCCAGTTTAAGAACCCATTGTGGCCCTCGATTCAAAAAGTTTGCCCACCCCTGGGCTAGAGTGTGGACCTGCGGACTGAAGGGTCCCGGGTTCCATTCAGGTCAAGGGCACATGCCAGGGTTGCTGGCTCCATACCCAGTGGGGGCGTGCAGGAGGCAGCTGATCACTGATTCTTTCTCATCATTGATGTTTCTATCTCTCTCTCCCTCTCCCTTCCTCTCTGAAATCAATAAAAATATATGGAAGGAAGGAAGGAAGGAAGGAAGGAAGGAAGGAAGGAAGGAAGGAAGGAAAGAAGGAAGAGTGTCTGACAGAAAGCAGAGGTGTCTGCAGTCAGGTGACTCTCTGGTACATGGAGACTTTTCTCTGCCTTCTGTTCCGTGGGAGAGTTTAACTTCAATGCGGGGTTTATGGAGGAGAGGTTTGAGGGGACCTGAGGCACTCTTTCTCTCAAACTCTGGAATCTGAAGATTAAGGATGACCCAGGAAAACCCCTCCTGACTCGGGCTATGTTCATCATAGGGTAGTGTTTGGGGGATCCGAAGGCCCTAATTCCTGCTTGCCCCTCACTGCCACTTAACTTCCAAAGCCTTCTAACCTCTCCCTGTGCCTCTGGCTCAGTGTGAACCAAGAGCACCAAGCTTCCCCCACCAACCGCTGTGGGGGTGGGAGATTCACCAGGGCCCTCTGCGCACTCCCCAGCCTTGTCCTCACGCTCAGAAAGGCCATGCAGCGGGCAACCTTCCTTAAATTGAAACTCCGCAAATCTGTTTCACCCCAAGAAAGTGCAAACTGACACC